TTCTTTTCATTATTAGATCGGTTGTTAACAGAACTATTGATTTCATCAACAATTTATATATTTTCAAAAGTCAAACCAAATGAAAAAGTTCAATTTGTCTGTCAACACTTATACTTGACATATTCAGAAATAGATCTAGGAATTTATTGTCGGTTTTCAAGAAAAGCATACAGTCAGTGTCTCAGCCAATATGTTAATAGACCATTGAAAGACACTATTGATTCTTCATCGAAACATGATAAATGAAAATAGTATAAATATTCTGTTATTCAAACAGTCGAGCGTATCAGTCGTTATTTTCCGTCTCCAATTTTAGATGTCAAATGCCGACGTCGGTAGCTATTGTCGAACATTCATTTTTCTGTCATGAAATTAATTAAAATTTATTTACACAATAGGACAGGTGATGAAAGACTTGATAATTTGGCTACTATCAGTATTGATACGACACATCGCTCAACAACTGGGTGTTGAAAATATTCTTGATGAGTTTGCCAAATTAAAACATCTTTTAACTTTTACGGATGAAGTCAATCAAGTCTTTATTTAATTATATATATTCTTTTGTTTCATCTTTCTTTGTAGAGACTAATTATCAAATATAAATAATTAGTGACAAATCTATTGTAAACGAGCAAAAGTCTTATCAAAGCTAGATGGAAAAAATTTGATCCTTAATCTCCAGTCAAAAATCCTTGAGCCTGTAGTGTCAATTTACAGACTAGTGACTTAGTGTGGTCAGTGCACGCTGACATTGATATCTATTGAAACATACTGTTACGAAGAAAGAGCACATTTTAAAAGAGTTGGGGTCTCAATGTTGCAGTAAACAAAGATGCTAATGCTTTATTGAACCCTGTGTCGATGACTCATCGTCAATATACTCTTTAAAGTCACTACTGATAACATATCGTAATTTGAAGATAAAATCTATCTTATGTAGAATATAGAAATATGGAAAGTGGTCATGCATGATCAGGTCTCTAATAACCAAGACAAAAACCAAGTTCATCCACAAATCGAAGATTTTTGTGAAATTTTCATCATTTTTTTTACCAAAAATTTCCGATTGATTCATGAAATGTCACTGTTTTCGATGACATTATCATTAAACAAAGAGTTCTCAAAAGCTTTATTAGTATACTGTTAACTGAAACCGAAAAACCGCAGTCATGCATATCTCTCGTAGAATATTTTTTAAGAGCCTTAATGCTAGACAATCCTTAATTAATAATTCTTATTTATCCGTAAATCTGATACTGTTTTTCGACTCTGGTTCTTACAGTATTATCTACTACTACGTATATACCTTATTTTCTTAATAAAATAAATTAAAACTGAAAAAAATTCTTTCAGGTTTTGTTTTCTTCTGGATCATACGAAAAAGGTCTTTTCGATTGAAGTTAGAGACTAAAATCAATACAATTTTTTTTAAATAGAAAAATCGCATTTAACAGTTATGATTTATCTGATTATACTGAAAAAAAACCTAATCGATCTAGAACAATAATCTATAACAAAATAGTTCTTTTTTCTATGTTAAACATTAACGAGTGACTCATAAAGAATGAGACACTTTTCTTAAGTAGTGCAAACATAGTTTAGAGACTTCGTTCTTAGCGTATTCAATAAAGATTTTTTTCGTTCTATGATATTGTATATTTTGTTTAGAAAATATATTCATACTTGTTCTCTAATATACGATACAATTTTTTTACGCCAGCACGAATCTGATCAATTAAAGCTTTTTTTTTTTTGATTAATTACTTTGTCTCAGTTCATCTGGCCACACAATTCATCCCATATTAGGTAACCGAGAGAATTAAGATCAAGGCTATTACAGGATTAAAAACCGCAGAAATGATGTTCGTACCATGTTTGAGTGTGCAACAGTATTCCATTAAATTCATGTTATCTGGCAGTTCGATTGGCAATATTTTATTAATATAACGTTGATCGTATCGTCCTTGATAATAATAGGATGCGTAGTGTCATCGTACTATGTTCCTAGCGGTACAATGACACCATGAGAAAATTTTGTTTTCCGGTGAATTCTTCCATTTGCATCAGCTTGTTGATGATTTGAAGCCCATATGCTGTCATTTTTGACGGTTCTCTATACGCTATCAATATTAAATCGTTTTTCCTTTTGTATATTCGTTAGTTTCGAAGCAACATGCTCTACATATGATTTGAAACTCAAATCATTTTTAATTATTCTTTTCATGTTCAACAGATGAATCATCTTTGTGTTTCGATCGTTTTGACTATGGCTTGATTCTTTGAACATTTTGATCTATCGGTAGACTGTTGATTTCCTAATTTCATCAGTAAGTTGTTTCGAAATCTGTCGACTACTTAAAATATTTGTTCATGTAATCGAAACACAACATTTTTTATGCCTTCAATTTTCATATTTTTTTTGTAAAAGAAAAAGATCTTAATCTACAGCTTACTTGATTTTGTAGAACGAAGTTTCTCAACTATGTTTGCCATACTCAAAAAAAAAAAGAAAATTTTTTTTATGTTTATTTATTTTCTAAGTAATGAACAGCCAAAAAAACTTCAATTCAACTTATCATAAATCTAATTAAATCTTCTATATATATATATATTAAAATAAAAACTTACTTGAAAACCAATAATAAAAAATAATATTCCACAAGCAATATCAGTTTTTTTTCTTGTTAAAATCATTGCACATGGTATAAGTTGACCAAATAAATTAATAATAACAAAAAGTGTTCCAATAAACCATCCAACATTCCAACTTTTCATAATATAATCTCTTTGTTCACCCCATTGCATCCACATACGAATACCATCTTCAATAAATGTTGCAACTAAACAAAATCTAGCTACATGTGGTAATACATATTTAGTACGGTGAAGAAACTATTAACAAAAAAAAAATATATATATATATATATACATATAAATTTAACCAATTGAAAAGAGTCTACTTACAATATCAGCATAATCTTCTGCTTGACTTGACCATTGTTGACGTTGTTTTGGTGTAACCAAATTCATTATAAACTAATAATAAAGATTTACTGTTTTTTTTTTCTATGTGTAACACTATGTTCTAAATATATGCAATAGTTGACTTTAGAATATATCTGCTAACGTGGTTCTACGCGTAAGTTTCTATTTATGATTGGTTAATGACCGACATGCTTATATTTTGATGAAAATAATTTTAAAAAAAAATAATCTTTTTAACAAATAAAAATTTTTTATGTAATATGAAGAAAAAAAAGAAGTCAAATTTATTGAAATATTTTGTGATAATTATCATGATAGAGGGCATTATATACTTAGGAATCCATGGTTTTCAATTCAATGATATGGAACGGGTAAAAATTCGATAGAACGAAAAAAGAAAACGAAATTTTCAAGCAAGCTTTTTTTTCGTTTTGCTCAATTGTTAATGTTGTAAATTTCGTGAGAGTGGTACTATTTTTTATTACAATTTTTTGTATTATCAACAGTTTAAAGGTTTGGAAAATACTGCTTTACAACAGCGGTGGATTTAGAGGAAAGCATCGGGACAGATCGCTACTACCGTCTGAACTAGGTTTTAAATTTTCTCAGCAGAAAATGCCCAAAACTGAGTCGATATGACTTTAAAACACGTTTTGTGGCTTCAATCGTCTCTATTTCCATCGATGATATTGTAGGAAAAATTTGAAGAATTCAGTCTTCAATATGAATTAAATTGAAATATAAGCAGATGCCTACCATAGATTAAGCTTTCATAAGATAGGCTCAAACATTTGTTTCTCATTCTATCAGATTGATAGATTTATGCAATGCATTGAAATTCTCATATAAACGATACAATATTGCTACCACTTTTGGTCGTAAATAGTAACATTTTTGTATGACTGTATATCGAGCCCTATACAGTCACTGACTTAAACAAGTACTTCTTTGTTATAAGCGAGAAATTTGAGTTAGATAAATAAAAATCTGTTAAAAATTCTCTTCGTCTTACGTAGAATATTTTCAATAAACTGAGCAAACCTAAATGTAATTTCCTTTTTTTTCTGCGAATACTACTGATTCATCATTATTCTGTTTTTCAGTAAAATAGATAAAAAAGAAAAAACTTCTTTCGAGGTCGAAATGAAATACAAAAGTGTTGGTATGATTCTTTAAGTACACGTATTTTGACCTAAGTTGTGAATTTCGTTTTTGAACGATGATAACTTCATACAGCACAAAATGTAATTTGAGAATAAACACTAAGTGTTTGTCATCTTAATAACATAACAAGATTCACTCTCTTCCCTATTCTTAAGTTCCTAATGAAAATCTTATGTACATTGTTGAATTTAATATAGATTGAAAGTGTTTCACCACCTATGCCAACATTGAATTATTTATTAGTAATGAATAAAAAAGAATATTTGGTATTTTTTGGTCAACCAAACAGTACTGTTTTCGCTGTTACACATACAAAACAAATTCTATGACTTCTAACTGAGATTGTAAAATATTGCAATATGTTCAATTATAATTTTAATAAAAAAACATTAAGCAATTCATTTTAATGATTTGTTTTACTTATAAAAATTAAGATTACTCTGGTGATGGTACATGTTCTTGGAAATTAATCAACGAAATAATAATCATTTTTCTTTGAAATTACAAACCTAGAAGACGTTCAATATGATCTCTGAAGTGATCATTAAAACTATGTCAAGATAACTCTCTACTCTCTTTAACGTTTGTATTCTAATTCAAATGACAAGCTAAAAATAATTAGAACTGTTTATGCAAAATCTTTATGTATAGAGTTACTAATGAACATAGAGATTCATATTATTCAGCTGTTATTTATGCTATTTTTATTTTATTTAGTAGTTAATCCCTGTTTTTCTTATTTCGATATATAGAAATATTTTTGCAATTTAATTTTGTCGTTTCAATTTTTTTATTGTTTTGTATATATAATGTAATTAGAAATATATAATTCATTTCAGATTTCTTAAATGGGCGACAATCGCTTCACATTTGCCGTGCAGCGTTTGCCAGCCGGTCCTTCTTATGCTGAATCATTTCAAGATCAAACATCGTATGAATTTTTTATTGTATATTTTAAATATATTATTTGTTTTCTTTCTTGTTTCGATTAGAACTCGTTCAAATTCTCGTGTTGGTGGTCAAATAAAACGTATTGGACCAGATATAATTGAAGATTTATTACGTGGAAAAAAGAATCCTGTACAATGTCTTAATGAATATTGTTCTATGACAAAGAAAACTATTGTATATACAGAAACAGGTTCAGGATATCGTTATGCAAATTATGCAACTATTGATGATGTACAATTTCCTCAAGTAATAAAACAAAATATTTCAATTTATTTATGATAAATATTCAATAAAAATTTTATTTCTATTTATATAGGGTACAGGTAGAAGTAAAAAAGAAGCAAAAATTGCTGGTGCACGACGAGCATTTGCTGCCTTACTTGATCTCGATGAAGAAGCATTTGATACAAAATTTGCCGGTAAATATATTAAAATCATTTATTAGCAACATGACGAAGTTCGAATATACAAACGAAAAAAATACTTTTATAACCGAATGAAAAGTTCAAAACAGAGTACAAATCTTTCTTGACAATTTCTCAATAACCATAAGACAAAAATTTTCGTTTTAAAATTTGATAGGATATCTAGAGAATCTGTTTTTTTAAAGTTTGACCTTGCTGAAAATTTCACTATAGATGTGCTTGTATCATATAATTTTTCTTAAAGCCTTAAAATTTTTATCTCTTATATGGTTAGAAAGATATTCACTGATTGCGTTTTAATTAACAATCAACTGAATGAGTTAACATTTTTACATATGTCTATAGTAATAAATAATCCTTTTAAAAAATCAAAGTCGTATATGTTCCGTTTGGTTTGACATAGACCATGTATGAGACTAGTTTACTGTGGATTTTACTAATGTCTGATCAAGATTTGAATAAAATAAAAGAACAATTTTGTGATATCATTCATAATTAGAAATGAAAAGTATAATTATCTAACAGATGAATTAAAATAAATATTTCATGATAATATATATTTTTAATTTTATTAATAATATTATTTTATTTGTTAATTGTCGTTTCTTTTTTTATTTTTATTTAGGAATGTCTGATGTTAAAATTGATCGACATGGTCATAAAATTGTTGAAAATGGCTCAAATAATCCTGAACATCTTTATACACCAGCTAATGTTGATGAATTAACACATAAATTAAATTTACTTGCAACGTAAAAATATCTTTTCTTTTATCTCTATATATTTCTTTTATTTAAGAAAAAACAAAAAAAAAAATTTTGTCTTCTTCTCATCTAGTGATCATGAACTTTTAAAATCTAAAGGTGTTGCAAATGCATTACAACGTGTTAATACTGAACGTGCCTTATCACGTGCATCAACTATAAATAATTCATATCCTATTGTTAATAATAATAATGAATTACCAATGACAATGTATGGTAGAGAATCAGTATTATCTGGACGACCACCATCATCAATAAATCAATATTTAACAAGTACACCAATAAGTAGTTTTGGTGGTACATCGGGTTTAAATACACAAATTGAAAATCCTATTACAAATTTACAAGAATATTGTAAAGCAAATATGTTACCTATTGATATTAAAACAGAAGTATGTGAACCAGATCCAAAAAATCCTGATCAAAGAAAATTGTAATAATATTGATTTCTTTTGTTGGTTTTGTTTTGATCATTATTAAATTGAATTTATTTATTATTTTCTATAGATATCGATCATGGGTTATTTTGGATAATGATGAAACAAAAATATCGGATGTTTATGCATATACAGCAATTGATGCAAGACGACGAGCATCACAACGAGCTTTAGAAGCACTTATGAAAAAACAACCATCACATGTAAATAAATAAATCTTATATATAAAATCGAATGTTCTTTTTTTTTCTTTTGTTGTTGTTGATTTATAGATTATAACAAGTAAACCAATGGTTGCATTAACTGAATATGAAGAAATTTCAAATACAGTAGCAGATTTTATAAAACATAATCGAGCCAATGATCATTCAGATATGTTTGATACAATTCATAATCGTTTTTATGCAGCTTTTGTTGTTAAACGAAGTAAATATTTTCATTGAAATAATTTTATTTCATAAGTGATTTATTTATTTTATTTTTATCGTATGTTTTAGCTCAACGTGATGTTGGTCGTGTTGTAGCATTTGGTATGGGTAGTCGATGTCCAGAACCGGAAAATGTTAGTGAAATGGGTGAATCATTACTTGATTGTCATGCTTTAGCTCTTGCTCGACGAGCATTTATACAGTAAGTTTGTATTTTTTTAGAGAAGATTTTTAAACAGAATAACTTTACTCGAATGCAAAAAATAGTTAGTACTATTTAAATTCAATTTCAAAAAACTAATATTCTTATTATGGTAAAACTTCTCTAACATGGTTACTATCCGGATCGATCAGAAATGCTTACTATTCAGAGCTTTTCAGTTTCGTTTTTGTAAAAATATTTTTCTTCTTTCCAACAATTAATTGACTTAGCTGTTTTTACTCATAGGTAAAGCAACTCGTGTTGACTTAATTCAATGTTACTAGCTATTGAGACGAAAATGATGAAATGTCACACCAAATTAGAGCTCAGACGACAGTATTTGTACTTCATACTTTTTACTAACTTTTAACCGTCTACTAAATAAATAAATGAACTTTATAAAAGATGAAAATGAATTTTGAGCTTATGCTTATTTTTGTAAACTTAAGATATTTTTATATAAAGCATTGTTTTATATTTTCGATGAACTGCATAAAACATGAAAGATGTTTGATTTAGAAACAATTCACCTTTTGATAAGTCGAATGATTCTGTATAAGTTTTTTTTTTTTTAAACAGATTTTATATCCTAAAAATAGATTTGATGAACTGCATTTATTGTAAATTCAATATTGTTAGAAACAATGAATAGTTCTAAACAAAACTTTTAGTGCTGACTTATAAGAGTATGGATCTGAATTCATATTGATTTTTTTCTTAATGTTATCGAGAACACTATTTATCTATATTAGTAAGCCAAATGAGCACCTGTATTTGTAGATATCCAATATAATTTTGAAGAAATTCAAATAATAAAAATAGATGATTGTTACAAATGTCTTGCAGTGAATTTATCAGCTTTTGAAAGAAAAAAAGTTCCATCAAATTATTCTTATCTTCATTTATCTTTCAATCAGATGATATGATGATGATCTTGAAGAACTTATCAGAAATAATAAAATCTAAAGACGAAGTTTTTAGATTTCTATACGAAGTAAAAATAGAAAAGATTTTTTTCGTATTTAAGTACAAAATACTACTTACTGTGCATATACTTGGCCTATCTTTGCATCAAGCACTATTGCTGTTTCTGTTTTCTTTTAAATACCCACGGCTAGTTCATTCCACATAGCATCCTTCTTTTCGCGCTCTACACATGAATGATAGAACACGTGTTACTAACATTACAGAGGTTATTATTGTTTATGAAACCAAATATTATCGTCTACTGTTCAGAATAAGGAGATACGCATTTCTAACAAAACTCGTTTCGAAGGATTTTAGATTGGCTACTATTAGGAAGTGATTATTACAGAAAGGTTTTACTGTAGTCTTATTGTGATTTTTTTTCTATAGGTATCTCTACGGTGAATTAATTAATTATGCAAATGGTAGTGCAATTCGATCAATATTAGAAACCAGTGAAAAAGATTCAACTAAAACTCAATTAAAAAATCATGTGTCTATTCATTTACTTATTTCTGGAGCACCTACTGGTGATGGACGGGAATTTTTACCGGCTGATTGTGATGGTATATGTTCGTCTTTTTTAAAATTATCTTGTATATATATATATATGAATAATTAAATTAGGACCAATGGCTCCTTATGATCTTGTACAAATGAGAGCCGCTGGTCATGCACCAATATATGAACATCCAGAACATGGTCATTTAAGATATAAATTATCAGTTGGTATGGAAACGATTGATGCTGATCGTAAGTTGAAATGAACAATTTTACAGAAAATAAACATTTTTTTCTTCTTTTTGAATCTCTTTAGCTCTTCAACGTTTTGCAATTATGTCATGTAGTGATAAAATTCTCAAATGGAATGTACTTGGTGTTCAAGGAGCTCTTCTTTCGAATCTCATCGAGCCAATTAAACTTTCTTCAATTACATTTTGTATTAATTATTTTTATTTATGTTGAATTTTTATATTGTTTTCTTTGGTTTTTCATAGTAAGTGGTTTCAAACAATCACATACATCACGTGCTGTATGTTGTCGATTGGAAAAAGCAACAGATCCTGTACGAGTACATCATCCTATGATAGGTAAGATAAAAAAAAAAAGAAGCAACATTTTTTACTCTCAGATAATAACTGGGGATAATACGACCGTGTGAGACTATCCATTTCTACTGATAAAAATTTTGACAGCAGCTTCTTGTCGTTTTGGAGAAAGTCTCTGATTAACTTTTTCCACTTTTGAGGACACTGGAATTATATGTTGCACCGATTTATAGAAATTTAGGTCACATCATTTTCTCATTCTGAGTAACCTATCAGAGATCTACTTTCTACAAATTACGGATAATATGCGATGTATCTCTCTCCGATTTAGTGTAGATTTTATGCACTGGGCTTATTTCACCAATGAAATAGCGATTGAAGTTACTAACAAACTCCTTGATTACTTTCTGCAATAAGTCGAGATGTTTTAAAATATCTGAAGTTTTTCTGATAACTGAATTAAGAAGCATTCTTCAAAATGCACGAGTTTTACCATCCTTGACAATAATTAGTGAGCGTGAAAAGATTTGGAAAAAACTTTAACAAAGGCAGAAATAAGTTTTATGCGATGACTAGAATCTCCAAACATGATGGAAAGCTCAGTATGAGTTCGAGAGTTTCTAATGAAATTCGACAGTCATTGCTTTGGTTCATAATGGACAATTTCTATAGAATACATAGACATTGCTTATTTTGTATCAGAAACGCATTTTTTTCATAGAAATATTAATTTTCAGTACTTAACGAAAAAAAATTCATGTGAAAAAAGTCAAATTCATAAAAGCAGATTTTCAATGTACAATGCATGAGAAGATCCTTACCCTAAACTTTTGTTAGAAAAATTTTTATTTTAAAAATTAACAAATGTTACATTATTCATTGTAGTTTTCTCTACTAATTGTACATATTCTCTTATTTTTCTCTTTGGGTATTTCTAAGACGAAAGGACACAGAAAACCATTAAAAATCAAGCGATTTTAGGAAATCTCTATCTCATGTGAGAAGCATTTATGCATCTTTTATATTAACTTAGTAGATATGTCAGACAAAGAAAAACATTCTCTGAAAGTTTGCACAGTTTTCTTTCGAAAATAAAGTTTTTCATAGTGAACGATAGAGCAAGAACTCTTCATTAAGAATGTGCACGACTTATTTCATAATGAACTTGTTTCAAAGTTTGTCTTTCTATAAAAGTCAGTCAACATGGAAACATTTTGGTGCATTTATAACTGTAAGAAAAAATTTAATGTTACGTCTACTCAATTTTGATTGATTCGAAACGTTATTATGTTGAATTGCACGTTTCTGCCATTTTCAGAAATATTCCCTCCCCTTTTCCTTGCTCTAATCTTTTCGCAGCACCATTGATAATAAATTTGATATATTAGGTCGTGTTAAATATCCACTTGTTCAACCACAAGAATTCGATAGTGATTATAGTTATGTATGGTCAACGTCATTTCAAGGTGAAGTAATTGATGCACGTTGTGGTCGACCAGTAACAGGGTATGCAATATAGAAAAGAAGAAAAAAAACCAAAATATAAACAATTGATTTTCTTGTGTTTTTAAGTGGTACAAGTCTTCTATCAAAAGTTGTACTCTTAAGTGAGTATCGTCATGTATGTCAACGTTTAAAAATTCAATCTGTCACATCAGATACAAGTTATTATAATCTTAAACAAATAGCAAAAGAATATCAACAAAAAAAACGTGCAATGATTAGTTATCTTGAACAAAAAAAATTTGGTTATTGGTCATTTGAAAAAAAACATCTTGAACAATTTCGATGGCAATCAACAATACCACCAATACAACGAAATATAACAATGTGATAAATTTCTGGATTTTTCTTGTTGTATTTCTCTTTATAAATCGAGATTTTACTTTTATGTTTATAAATGCATATGAAATTAGGCTACAGAAAAAAACCAAGAAATGTACACATATGTGATGAAAATTTTTCTTTTTCTTCATTTCTATGTGACTTGTTCTTGGTTCTTTTGTTGAACATGTACAAACATCAGGTTATTCGGTTTTTGTAATATAACGCTCTTTTTCTTCTCTTTTTGTTACTCTATTAACTATTTCGTACTTTCACAGATGGTTATGTAAACATGTGAAAAAGAAAAACAAAACAAAAAAGAACAATAACATAATCGATACTTTTCGTGTTTTTTAAACAAGAATTACTTTGATTTATTTCTAAGATGAGTTTTTCCATATAACAGTTATTTTTATCTATGTGGAGTGGAATCTATTGCAGTAGATATACTAACAGCATTATAATAAAGTTATATTTTTACTTATAAAGCCTAGTGTTTAATTCAATAGTCTACGGATACAATTAATTCTGCTAAGCAACTGTCTCTCGTCACTATCTCGAATTTTCATACAGACACTCGTCACACTGGATTTGGGTGGCAATCGTATCGGAAAACAAGGAAGAGAGGACACCATGGAAGCCCTGAAAGCAAACAATGTGTTGACAATGTTCTGAGGACCACATGTTATTTCGCTTTCAGACATTCATACTGGAATATTTCTCATGAAGCTATATCGTTACGGAATGCTCTTTTTTGAAGGAAGAATTTAACGTGACATTTTGACTTTGAATGTTCGGATTGTGCAACTTCGTTGTATGCCGTAGGTGTCAGTCCTAGGCTTCATAAACTATTTGTTCAAGCAACCTCATTTATAACTAAGTATTCATATTCGGTTGTTGTACCTGTGAACCTTGTCGTTTCGTGTGATGAATGGTCCCGAGACAGTTATGAGAAATGCTGTTGAATGCGTCTATGGAAGGTTTTGAGATAGATGCTTATGGGATATTGGATTCTGTTTTCGATTACTTAGGAATTCAACTAATTACATATCAGATGGCTGTGGCCCGAAAAGTCCTGCAACTCATATACTATGAAACCACAGGATAATAACTGCTAGCTTTATTGAATGTAGTGATTTTCGATAGCAACGACACATGACCAATGTTAAAACAAACCGTTTGTGTCATTAAAGAAAAACTCCAAATCAAGATTACTCAAGCAATTCTCAACAGTCGTTATCACTTCGTTATTAGAGTCAATAAATTCGCAGCGAAAAAATTTCTTCAAATGCAGGAACATGTAGTGATCAATAGGTGCAATATCCGAAGAATAGACGGCATGATTCAATTCGACGAAGGCGATCTGGCAAATGGTGGTCCCCGCGACGTTACCCTTGTTGACGAGCATGTTGTCATGAAGAAGTAGCAATCCATGGCTGATTTTTCCGTGGTGCTTCTCTAGGATAGCAGCACTTACGTAGCTGCTCGTTGAGTGATGCATAAAAGGAGCCATTGATTGTTTCACCATGAGTGTGGTAGTCGGCAAGCAGCAAACCGTCTCTGTTCCAAAAAATAACCAGTATGACCTTACCTACTGATGAAGTTGAGTTGGCGTCTCTTCTGCTGGTTTCTTGCAAACTTTGACTTTCAAGCGGCTGAGTAAGTCATAGTGATGCCCTCATGATTCACGTTCGATTATGATAGGATCGAGAAATTTGACCGAGCTCGGTTCACTCTCCTGCAGCAGCTGTTGACAACACTCCACTCGCCTAGCACGTCGTGGTGGGGTGAAGAATTTCGGTGCCCAATATATGTGGACCTTGTGCATGTCCAAGTGATTGCACATAATCGCATGAATTATAATTTTTGAAGTGCTCAACTCGTCGGCGACACGACGGACAGAGATTTATCGATTACGCACTACAGTATGTTCAACGGTTCCAATGTTTTCATTACTGGTTATGATTGATGGATGATCACTTCGTGGTGCATCTTTAAAGTCGCGTGTGCGATTCCCAAATCCAGTCACCCACTTTGGAAGAATGCAGTACGCTAATGCAGAGCCATGATAAACATTTTCCAGTTCCTTAATGATTTCGATAGAATTCGTTCTTTTTCAAGTAAAAGAACTGTATGGTTGTTCGAGGGTCGATGTTCGACATATTTGAAACATGAACAAATACAGTAGTGAAAAGTAATTTTGTCGCACAAAACAATGTAATCAGCCAAAAGTATACGTACATCATGGTAAAAATTCATGCTTTGCACGATAATATAAACTAAATATTTCACGCACGCAACTCTGCTACAGTTGCACAAAGTTTCCAAACGCTCTGATAGCTATGTCATTTTCCATCAGTGCACATTTTATTTATAAAACTTGTAAAGCACCAATGTAGAACTGTAAAGAAAGCTTTCTCAAGAGTTTGAGCTTCACTCATTGAGTTACTACTGCACTCTCGTCTCAGAAGGAAACCAGATGTTTTTTCTTCACATCAACAATTACAATAAGATGATCACAATACTAGAGATACTTGATAAATTTCAATGAAATTAGTTGGGTAGATAGTAGGATAAAACACTACATAATGAGCCGTTAGCTGACCTAGAAAGCACATGTTTTTCGAAGTTATGAAATTCGAAGGCCATAAAGATGGCATATTGTCATTTATCATAATTTTCTTTCTACTTAAGCAATCGAAGACTGTTGACGAAGTGAGTACACAAAAATTTGTAGGTCTCTAGCGTTTATAATGGATGTGATCCTCAAGAGCAGACACTTTTGTCCACTCTTGTATAGGAATCAGGACTCCGCATGGAACGATCCATTGGACAGCATGGGACAAAACTTTTTCCAAAAGTTCTGTAAGACAAGAAAAATTAAAACTCTTCATAGATGTCACTATGTATAACAACGTAGTACTATGTGTTTCATTTTATTTTAAAACGGACAGCAAACTGAATAGTACTAATCGAAAACGAGTGAACATATTCTTTTGTGGATTTAATAAAGTAGAAACATACATTTTTTTTCTGGACTTGTCTCATATTGTTACTAAAGAATCGAATTACAAGAATTCAAGTAAACAAAATCGCTTGTTCCCGTAGAAAAATCATCCTTTTTTAAATCTTACTTTCAAACTTCTGTGTTTTTTTCTCTAGCGTGTCACTATAGAATTACAGTGGGTATATTTTAGAACATAGACCTTTTATTTATAAACATAATTTCTGTTTGCAATATTTTTATTTCGGTACTAATGAATTTATTAATTTTAATTTAGTAAGATTAATTTTTTGTTACCTTTTCATAAGTCTAGAAATTTCCTAGAACTTCACATCATCTGTGTATTTTTTTTGCCTAAAAAATGATAACATTCTCTTGTTGATCATAAGTATGATTGGTAATTGTATCTAAAATAAATATTCAACGAAAAGTTTAAATAACTAGAATTCAAACATTTTATTTTTTCAACCATGGGCTTTTGATAGAAAAATCGCACTTGACTTTTTTTTCTCTAGCAAGAAGTTAAAGTGCTAAAGGAATAAAATTCAATGAGTTAATTTCAGCATCATTATCTTAATTATTTGAACAACATTGAATTTTCAATTGCATTTCTACGCTATCCTCGTAAATTTATTTTTTACCAATTATTCTACAGAATTACTGTTTTATGGATTTCATGTTCAGATTTTAAATAAAATCATACAATCTTAATTCGGTGTTTGAAAATGGCATCATATTGAAAAATTGCAGAATATTTCTCAATTGCAGAGAAAAAATAATTATTCAATAAACTAAAAATACAAAGAAACAGGGGTGTCCCGATCCCGGAGGCGGCGGGGGCAGGACGCCCCCCCCCCCCCCAATCATCAAAAATAATCGTTTTTTTGGTCTGAAATCGAAAATTTTCTTACATTTCGTTAGCAAAAAAANACGGAACAAGGTAGCAAGGTCGGCCTTGCGTAGGTCGACAGAGAACAATTTTTGCTATCGAATGGTGGTATTACAAGTCAAAATCATATCAGAAATTGACCTTTAAAATCTTGTCCTAATAATGTTCATCAAGAAATTCATCTGATTGGTCGATATATTGACCAATGAAAATCGCATGTCTCGATGTCCCTCTCTGTCCTCTGTCGAACGGTGAAAACTCTAGGTCTCTATCTTGTTCCTATCGAAAGTTATTACAAAAATACCCAGGGCCATCTTATTATTGGACAGACATTAGTTTATTGTAAGTGACAGGTTTTCTAGTATTTGTTATCCTCACTTATGAATATATGAACATAGGCTAATCTTTTGAAAACATAATTTGTGCAAAGCTAGAAATCTATACTGAAAACCAAACCCTAACGGTAATCTGAGAGATGCTTTCGTATTTCTTTTGAGAAACTCTTTAAAGTATTCATAATTCAAGAAGTTTCTTATCATTTTGTTATGTTCCTACGTAAATAAAATTCTTTTTAAATGAACAATTCGAAATAATTCTCTTTATTCTTATTAAAATCAAGATATGTTATTAAGACTATCTAGTACTTGTATATATATTGACAAAATTTCAAGTTTGAGTAAATATTTGAAATTTAAGCTTACTTTCATTGGTAAGTACAGCAACAAAATAAAGGTTATTACGAAATATATTTATCAAATAATGATGAGGTGTAGCAATAACAGGTGGAACATCCTCTGAATTAGTGCACTACATTGAAAAAATATTTATTTTAGATATTAGAAAGAATATTCAACTGACTTTTGATTGAGCTTCGAAAAAATAATCACATATTGATTTTCCTACTACGGTTTTCCAATGTTTTTCCATAAAGACATCTCTAAAAAATACAGCAAAAAAAGAAAGATTAACATTAACATTATTAAACTTTTGATAAGAATGCTAATATTTACCCTGATCCATTAATAATGAATAGACTATGAATCATTCTAATAAATATTCAATCTGCAAATGAAACAAGAAAAAATGGTTTGTATTTTCGAGAAACGATATTTCAATATAATAAGCTAATGCACAATAAGCATTGCTGAACTTAATTTTTTGTTGTTTTTTTCTTCTTCTTATAATCTACGAGCTAAATGAAGGTGACAAGAGCAAAAAAAAAATATACAACGAGAAATATCAGCACACAAATACGAAAAAAAAAAAATAGAGCAATCCAAACAACATACATTTGTATATATATATATATCTGATAGGCACCACAAAAAAAATATATAGTAACGAATGAAGAGAAAGAAAAATATCTGACGAGTTTAGCTTTTCTCATTCGATGCGAATGAACACGAGTAAATATATGAAATTAGAAGATAACAATAACAAAAATAATAATAATTATCATCATCATGTTCATTTATGTTTTTTGCTTATTAATCTAATGCCATAGCTGAACGTGAATCAACATTATTAACAATTGTATCCATTGAATCAGCTACATCTAAATCAATATTTGAACTAAATTTAAGTTCATTATTTTTATCATTATTTGGATTAATAGTAAGTGATTCTTCAAAATCATATAAATCGGGTAGAAAATTTTCATCAATATCTTCCATGCTCATTGATACTGATGAAGGTGTTGAATAACCATCACTACGTTGAGATGATGATAATGATATTGTATCATCATCATTATTATTATTATTACCACCACCATTTTCTTTTGTTCTAAATAATAGATTTTTATTATTATTTTTTAAAAGTTAATTTTCCTTTTTGAAATTCCTTTTTGTTATTCTATTATGAAATAATCAATTTAAAAATATGATTTAGAATATTTTCTCGAATCTTCCTAATTGATGAAATGCTAACCAGGTTATTTTTTTTTGAATAATTGATAAAGAAACAATTCATAATTAGTCGTTGATAAACTTTTGTCACTCAGCATTAAACAAGATCATTATATCGGTTTTTTATGAAGAAATTAAATGATAAGTTTATCAATGATCTCGCTCTACTAAGAAAATCTGAATATTGTTTATTGTAATGGATAAAAAAAATTGTTAACGTAATACTTTAATAATTCTAATTGATAAGTTCTTTGATTTATACATATAAATTACTTTACAATCTTTTCTCGAACAACATCAAACTTCAATTTATTTACTCATTGTATTTTATATAAATTTCGTTCTTGAAACTTCTCATATAATTCATTTGTTGAGGAAACCATACAAAATTCTTATTCTTCTATTGAGTCTACCATATAGTCATTTGAATCTAAAGTTTCGCACTTAAATTGTATTATTAGATTCGTCTGCAATTCTCTTCTAATTCCAATGCTATAATATTTTCAATTTCATGCAAATTAATATTATATATATTTTTCTAATCTCCAAATATTTAAGACTATCGATCTCTTGTAAGCTTCTTTCTCTTAAGAAAAGTTCGCTGTTGTCAGAAGGATCAAAATTAAGATAAATACAGAGTAAAATAGCTTGTAATCTGATCTTTCAAAAACACGAAGATTTTTTTATTCTGTTGACACTATCTTTTGGCCGAAATGTTTCATGATTTCTGTCAGTATGCCGTTGAAAAATGTCCGGTTTTCAAACAAATCTTTTTTTTTGCTTTTCCTCTATTTATGTATTTTTGTTTGTGTATCCAAGAATTTTTGAAGGAGCTTCATTGTAGGCAATAATTTCTTTTTGTTTAAAAGAGCATGTCAAGATGCAGGAAATGACAGAGTCCTTTTTTTTTTAAGCTTTGTTACTATTATATAAAAGAGTACTTCTATATCTAGAGTACCATTTTCAAGAGACTTTTGAGATATTGAATTTTTCATTTCTTTTCTTCCCTTAGCAAGTAAGATTTTGAAAAAAAAGCTCTGTCATGTCCTGTATCCTGACATGTACTTTCAAACAAAATAAAAATTACGTCATATACAATGAAAGTCTACCGAGAATTTTGGGTGGCGAAATGATCTATTTTGGATTCTTGTTTGTTGATTATCTTCCGAAAATATCATGATATAGAACTGCAAGTTTTACCATAACTTCTTTACTAAAATCTCAACATATACTGAAAATTTTATTCTATTTGAATCTTCCTGAACAAAAAGCTCAAGAAATAAGTTTTCAAAAATGTCAATAGAGCTAATTGGATCGAAAGTTTTCGGATCCGAAGTAGTTTAAATGTCGATCGTTCTCTTCCTACCTAAAAAACAGAAGTACGCAAAAAATTTAAATATTCCTTTTCATTTAATACATAAATAGAATTTAATGAATGCATTATCTAGTGTTTCTCTTTAAATGACATACTTATCTGAGCCAAATTCATGAAGTTTTCGACGCCATGCTTTAATAGCCCCATCGAAACCACGTCGAGACATTTTTGCATATTTGCATGGAGTACGTGGATGTTGTCTTGTACGAGATTTTCTTTATATAAATAAGAAAAATTCAAATTATAACTAAACATAAGAAGAAAAGAAAAACAAAAAATAATCTACCGTGTTATAGCCGATATATATGTTTGATATGCTTTAGATAATTTTCCTTTACTTATTTCTTTCTGTCGTCGTAAAAGTTCTATATGAAATATAAGACAAATAATAATTTATTTATAATTAATATAAAATTTCAACCTTTTGGACAACATTCAATAGATGAAAGAATTTCTTCCGTTGTTTTATTTTCATGAACAGAAAATTGTTTTAAATAAAGTATAAAACTATTTAATGAAAAATTTTTTGTAAATATTATTGTAAAATTAATTGTTCATTTTTTATTTTTATTTACCTATGTAATTTTTTTTCTTCAGCTTCTTCATTATCCATTTTATCACACCAATCTTTTGATAAAGTTTTTTGTAATTCTTGTTGTTCTTCTTCAAAACTATTACAAAAAAGTATATTCATTTTTTAATAAAGAAAAAATTCTATTTCTCTTCACCTAGGTTTCGGTGTTTTTGGTTTTTCGTCATTTTTTATATTAAGTCTATTTGGACGATTATTCGGTGTTGATGATTTACTCGACGTTCTATTGTATAAATCAAAAAAAAATTTAAATGCATACAAAACGATATTTCAAAAGTCCGAACGAACAAAAAACATAGCATGTATAGTTGTTCTATCAAATATCAAAGATTTCTCGATTGTTAAGTTGTGGCAACAAGTCTTGGCTACATTTTAAAATCAGTTCGAAATCTGTATCATTAGATTTCGAGGAGAAACCCTTGTTGGACACATATTCTTTGAAATTGCCAGACAAATTGTGATCAAAATTAAAATAGTTTTACTCATGTTCAAATTCAAATGCGTCAGTATTGTAAACCAATAACTGCCAATTGAATTGGACGGGGGGGGGGGGGGGGGCCCCCGACACTAACCCTTCAATTGGAAAACCATTTGGTGGGCACCTAGGGCCACATCCTGTCAAACAACGGCCNGGGGGGGGGGGGGGGGGGGACACGGTAACTAAACATTGCATTAGTAACACATTTTAGTGACTTAATGCGAACAGTACTGTCGAAAAACGATGACTGTAGAGTAATTACTGAAGGAAAAATAAAGGATGGATGCTTGTAAGAATGTGTCAAGATCAAGTATTCGGTCATTGTAGCTCTATTTTTGTAGAACTATTAAACATGTTATACTTTAATAAGATATGTTTCGTTATAATACAATATGTTGTTGTTTGTCCTAATGAGCAAGCTTATGCAATAGATCGAATACTTGATCCTGACTCATTTTCACAAGCATCTTTAATCTTTTTCTTCACTAATTGCTGAAATGTAGTTAAGCTGACAAGCGCATTTGTTTTATAATGATAATTGATGCGAATTGAACAATGAGTAAAATAATTTTTATTTTGACCCCTTTAGATACAGACATATCTGTGTGAAACATATTAAATAAAACTTTAATGTATATATGATCCAACTCGTAATTAAAACCAAATATTTAAATTCTTTGAATTACAGAGACACTATTCATGTTCATGTTCTTTTTTTTTTTTTCGTTCGGACGTATATTTTTTTGTACCGTTGATTTTCATCATGAAATGGATCATTAGCATTTTCATCAAAATGTATTGGAGCTGAATACGGATGATATTTATTTCGTCGTGGCGAACTAAACAAATAAATTCTTTACATTGAGAAAAAAAAAAAGATTTTGTTCTTTTCGCATAATTTTACTTTTCATTTGCTTCATTAGTACAATAACGTTTTGAACGAAAACGTGCTGGACTTGGTGTACCACCATCACTGGATTCATAGGCACGAGTTGTTTTGGGTGTATGACGTATACGGCTATAGTTAATTAAAAAAAAATATATATGCATTAATTTATTAAATATTAGTTAATAATTAATTAATATACTTTGGAGTATTAGATGCTGACATATTATAGAATTTTGTAGAATGTAAATGTTCTTAGAATAAACAGTAGCCGTCCAACTAAACAAAGAATTCTCTTTTTTTTAATTCGTAGTTCTAATTGAATAGATATCTAAACCAATAAGAAGGATAATTTAGTGAGCGCTACATGCAATGAAATTTGTCGAATGGACAGTAACTCGTATCTAATTGACCCTGTAATCGTGTCGATTGGTATGTGTGTATATTTATTTCGAAGGTGTAGAAAAGATAACGTATGTTTTTTGTTGTCTATATTAATTGGATAAATCAAAAACCAAAAGAAAATTGATCAAATCTGGTAAATATTTAAAGAAATTTATTATACTTCTTGATTATTATTTTTGTTTTTCTATTGATATTCTTTTTCCTTCAACCATCATTTTTCATAATTGTACATAGTTTTTTTTTTTTACATTAGTTTCGTTCGGTTATCTTTCTTTGTGTAAAAATAGGATGATAAGCGTCATATGGTTTTTTTCCTTCTATTCTTTTTTTTTTTGCACAATTGTCTCATTATGGATAAGATAAATGATATAGTTGAAGAGAATTGATCGTTGACAAGTAGTA